AAAATTAAGGCATAATTTATTAAAATATCCAACAAATACTTCAATTTAAATGCCTAAATAAGTGTAACATAATGTTCTTATCACTGGGTTTTTTAGAGCTGAAATTTGAAACATTTTATTAGATTTTAGAGAAGTTTATGAGGCGTGGAAGTCATATTTCACATATGGTGATTTTTATGAGTTGATAGTTTGGCTTAATTGTAATTTTCTTATGATTGAATTTTCGTACAATAAATTAGCAATGAAGTGAATGAACTATGTCGAATAACGGATAGAGTACAATATCTCAAAAATGAGTGACCACAAACCATTTTGAAGCTCGGTGAGTAAATTGTGACTTAGTGTAAGTTGGATGAGTAATGAAATAATGGTTTGATTGAGTTGTAATTTTTTAACGGTCGTAATCTGACACGTCAGCAAATAAGGTAATGAATTTTTTAGGGTGATTGATGGTGTGCAAACGGACAAAGTTTATTGAGCATTGTGAAGTGCTTTGAAATTTAATGAGTAAATTGTGACCATTGTATAAATTGGGTGATTATTGAACAATTAACTTTGAAATTATCCTAATAATTATTTTAAGCTAAACTTCAGTAAATTAATCAACAAAATAAAATTAAAGTATAATAGAAGATATGTCTTAACAATCTCAAAAATATACAAAATTATCGATCTTTAAGTTGGCAGAGTGATTTATTAAGAGGGTGTTTGAGCCCCATTTTTATGAAAAATTGTATTTTAGAATAGTAGATTAATGGGAAATGTGTGTTGAAAAATAAGAAATTTTTTTTTATTTACATGTAATACTATTTTAATAAAGAATGGATTGTCGAAATAAGAAAGAAAAAAAATGTATTTTGGAGAAAATTGGAATCAAACAAAACTTAAATAATGTGATCACTAGCCTTAAGCTGCTAGTGCATACATGTGCACACGAGTTTACAGGATTTAACTAAAATTTATTCGACCAATTTATATGAAGACAAAATATTTAATTTTGATTTGGCTCATTTAATTTTGTATATATCTTATGTTTAAAATATAAGGGTCGTGGATCGTCCATGTGAGGTAATCCGACCCATAAGATATCAAAATGATTGGAGTGAATGTTTGAATTCTAACACAAACCTACAACTCCCCATAACTCCCATTTCTAATATCAAATTATTTGTCTAACATTCGGAAGAGAGAATGATGGTAAGAAAACATGGTGAAATTCGTATGTAAAAATACGCCAAAATTGGAAAAGGCCCTAAAATCATCATTTTGGCATGAAAACTTACAAAATAAGGCACTTACATCGTGGATAATAATCCATTTTCACTGTTCGGGATTGAGACTATTGGAGAACAAGAAAATATAGATTTTGTAGTTTTGGAATTCAAGGTGATTCCACCATTCAAAGGAACTTGGAATTCATCATTTCAAGTAAGCATTTTGACTCGAATTTATGTTCAAGCATGCTGCAATTTATTACATTGGTATCAAAGCCTTAGGGTTGAACTTTTTGCAATATTTCAAGCTTATATATGCATATGCATGATTTTAATTGAGTTATGAATTTTGTATATAACGTTTTACACCTTATATGATTTTTATGGGATTTTTTAATAATTTATTGCTTTTTTTACATTGATAATTATACATTAAATTTAATATAGTTAGAAAGATATTTCAATAAGCTTTTCAACCATATAAAGAACTTAAAATTTGGACTTAAAACGAAGAAGTTATGAGATTTTGAAATTTGGATGAAATTTATTCTTTTTTATTTTATTTTTTTGGTATGAAGATTAGTGAAATCCGAAATTTTATCACATGATAGCTTCTTACAAACTCCAATTCATGCTTCCCAATTGATATGATTGGAAAGATAGTATCAAAAACTCTACTAAACTTAATCTCTGTTATTGTTCTTCTAAGACTGGTCTCTTACTTAAACTTGTGTGTGATAGTTCTGCTCATAATCATAGTAGTAATGTTTATTATAATTCTGGATGTTTGTACAATGATTTGAGATTTTGAGTTGAGAAAATCATTCAACACTGTAAGAGTTAAACTTTGATGGTGTAAATCCATTCGAATTTCTTTGTGGGCTATGATTAAGAGAGATAGAAGTGGAACTTTATTTTTTGTTACATCTATAGATGGATTCACTCATTTTAGTTATACTTGTAATTTTCTTAAGTTGAAGATATTGTATTGATTTAGATTTTTTAAAGTGGAGTAGAAAATTAGATTATGGAAGTGAAGACTTTGAGAACTGTTTGAGAGCGTAAATCCCCATCACGAGAGTTCAGGGATCAAGGTAATGTAAGAAAAAAATCTTATTAGATTGACTATTCCTTAGTCACTAATATAAGGTCTACTGAGTAGAATGAATGGAATATTGTTGAATGTGATGAGGTTTGAAATAATACAGTCCAATTTATGTGTTTGGTTAACTACAAATTTCACTTAATGGAGTGCTCTAAATGTTGGTACCTTCAGAATATATTAGCTTTGAACATGTAGATAACCAAATATGGGTTATCTTAAACTCATAATCGACTATATAATTCTTAATAATGAGTTTGGGAACATGAGCCCGTTGAGGATGAGATGTATCTCTGAGATATACATGACAGTCTAAAAAAAGTACTTAAATCAAATTTTGGATGGATATTAGGTTACAAGATTTGACATTTGGCATTTTTCCTAATAAGGGAAAAAATTTTGAAGAATATTATTAAAATTGATATTATGTATATTGATAAATCAGTTTTTGAATACATAAGAGCTAGTTTAAACATTTGATTCAAGTGGGAGTAATCTATTTTGAGTGGAAGTTATCTATTCAAATGGCAGCTATGAAAAAACTATCTAATTTCAATAGTTATTGGTTCCGAAAATCAGTGGAAAATTTTGAGAAAATTGATGTAAGTATATATGGAGTACAGAATTTCAATCTAATTTGAGATGTAGTAGAAGTTTTAATTAGACATTATGTTTATTGAGAACATTCAAGTTCTTAAAAATTAAGTAGAAGACTAATTAATAAGTTTATGATAGATAAAGTTCATTTTTTTAGCGAGTGGTTATACTTAATATAAGTATATTAAGTTAGATAAACATTATTTTCTTAGTAGTTAAATTCAATTCTATATGCCGATGTTGGTCATGAAAGTGTGTTTAAGTTTATATTACACCAAATGGACTTAGAAATTGTATTTTCATTCTCAGTTGAAAATTGATTGAATAGATCTATATGAATCGATTTGTAGGTTTTATGTTGAAGGCTTTTATAGCATTGTGATAATTTTATAGTTACACTTGTAGCCTAATGCAGTCATCTTGACTGTGATATTTGAGTTTTAACGGGGTTTAAATCTCGTTTAAAATTTCATCACGTGGAAGAAAATCACTATTTTTATATAAAGGTCTAATGGTAGGTTGTAATTTTAATTTTATTGTTGATGACATTATACATGCTAACTTTGAGAATAAGTGTATTAAGACCGTTTTGAAATTGTTGTCGTCAATTTATAAGACGAAGGACATGTGTTGAAAATTTTATATTTTGTACTAAAAAGATTATTTTAGTCATCTTACTCTGTTACAAAAATTGTATACTATAAAGATTCTAGAATATTTTTAAATGTGGAATTGCTACACTACTGATACTCCTATATCGAAAGATGATCATAAGTCTTCATATATGTCCAACGACTCCATAAGTATGCAAAAAAAATATAGAGAAACATATTTAGTACAATTAGGAGTTAAAAGTATGCTACGATCTATACTTATCCTAACATTTGTCATGCCATAGATCTAGTCAATAGATATCAATGTTATCCTTAGAAAGGATATTGTGATACCTGTGGGGTGCTGTTGTAAGTTATTCTATTTGTTGTCGAAGAAATAACTTGTGATTGGAATAAATATGCACATGTCAACTAATGATGAGAGTTAGTCAAGCACAAATAGTTATTAGACTTATACAATCTTACTCTATAGAGTAGCAAGAAACTATCTTGTAGTGTATATTTTGGTAGCTACAGAAATTGTTTGGTATAGATAATTGGGCATTTAATAATACCAGTTGAGAATATGAGATCCATGACATTTATGTAGTTACATCATGTATTGAGAATCTCAACTATCAATATTGAACCAAATACTTGATTCTATTTCTATGAGAGACATTAGCAAATAAAGTGTCTTTGCAATTTATATATATATATATATAAGTGATGATATGTAATCATACTCTAAATATGTTTGGAGATATATTTGTTGGTAATATAAAATCTTTAGAATTGAGTAGAATATGATACTTAGTGTATCAGAAACCTCTTGATTAAATTTTTGTATGCCCAAACTTGAACAATTTTGCGTTCATGTGTAATGTATCTTTGGGATTACGAGATAATAATTTGCATGCATATATAAAGTATGTCAAACAGGTTGAGATTAATTCACTCACACGATCAATCACTTTAGACACTTTAGAATGTACTGAGATGAGACAAAGTGATCGTGTTGTGTACATAATCTAGTCGTCTTAATAAGATATCAAGATGAGATTAAATTGGGATCTGCACGTTGTTATTTATTTATAAAAAATATGATATACATCCTAAAAAAGGGAGAAAAAATCGTAGCATGTGGTTCATATCACATGTGTTTTTACGACCAATATTAGATAAATAAGTGAATGGATCAGTGCTTCCTCATGGTGTGAGACCCTGAGATTTATATAACTTCATATATACCCTTATGACTTTTGAATGTTTCTTGAAATTTTATTTCAGTATTACTACTTTAACATTTTACAATGACTCTGATTGATTTGATTTAATGGTACAAGTCTACGAAAGTTGTTGGTTTAAAGTTGAAAGATTCAAGAAAGAAAAGAAAACTATTTTGACTGACATGATTGTTGAGTAAATTTATATAATTGCACATGAGTGTGTACGAACAAGCCGGTGAAATGTTGATCTCATAATCTGAAAACCTTTTATCAGCACTTTTGTCAGAGTTGGGATGAGAAGAGATAACCTCAAGATAGATCTCTTCTTATCAATTCATTGTCTTCTTGTAAGATCACGTATACTTTTGTCTTAGTCCACTATTTCATTCATTCTTGTCATATTCTAAAGCCACGATATGTCTATTTTTCCACTCATCTCTTTCTTTTCTTTTTCCCTTTCTATTTTTTATTTAATTAAAAAGTTGAACACTATATATATGTGTGTGTGCCAACATCAAAAGCATAGAAAACCCTGGTTTTCAACCCTATTTTGCCTTCCAAACAAAAAAACCTCACCAGATAAGAAGTTAAGGTTCGAAGGCATGGAAAACAAAGGGGAGGAATATAATTTCCCTTCTGATACAGATACTATGGTTTCTGGGCTTACAAGAATTATGGGTGCCACTCATCAAGAAGATCAGCATCGCTCTTCTACTCAAACACAACACGATCAAGGTTTGATCGTGTGTTTACTTAAGCTAACTTTTAATTTTTAGTGCTTAATTAATCGTTTTTTCTTTTTAATTAACTTGCATGAATCCCCCCAAAAAAAAACCCTTTGTTTAATTATTCCAGATGAAGAATATTGATAAAAAAGAGAAAAGGCAAGATTATTATTGGCCAAATTCATTGTATGTAAGTAAGAAGTTAGAGATTACTTTCCGTAAAGCAGTATCTATCTGTCTTTGTGGGGATTGCTCTAGATCTCTCTTTCGGAATTGTCCAAGATGTAGTAATTACATATGTTTGTTAATATCAATTTAAAACGTGTTTTTATCAATTCTTGACAATGGTCGGCACGACACCTATGTATTTCTCCCATTTCCCATGTTTTCCAAATGGATTAATATTGCTTTTTTGCAAGTCATTATCAATTGGTTTTACTTATAATTCTCTTCTTTAGCCGAAGGAGCCAGCTATATGTGCATTCAAGAAAAATGAGCTCAAATTAATAATGTCACAATCACCATTAGTTTTGTATGTATAATTTAATCTTGGAGCAATTGGATTTACATTCTTTAAAATTAGGTCTATCTTCGCTTTTTATAAATTTCTTTTTTGGCAATAAAATCAATAATTTATTTAGCTTTAATTTTTGCAAGTGAAGCTTTTGGAGTGGAAATGTAGATCAAGGTAACTTCGGGTTGAAGCATAGTTTAATTCTGCTAGATAAAGGAAAATGTACATTGTAGATGTAGAGCAAATTTGACATGAAGTTCTAGAATTTCTCTCAAATTATTTAGACTTTTTTTTTCACAAATGTTTTAGTAAGTGATATTATTTCCATATATATATATATATTGTAAATGTAGAAAATGGGGATTTTCATATCCTTCATGGTCCCCTTGTGTTAAAATTCTTAAGTATCATGATGGTGTGTTTGGAGGGTGTCCTAAAATATTAGTCGTCATGTCAAACATGTGTTCTGAAGTGTTCGGAGAGTGTTGATATTTCACGTGTGTCGAACACATTCATGCTATTCGTGTAACAATGTCCTTGTAACTTTGCTCTATTCAATGATCACACTAACCCTGATTAACTAAACGGCGCATTTTAGAGTGAACTAGCTATTCCACGTTAAGATAAAGCAACTGAAAAATTGTTAATTTAAGGTAAATTTAAACTGTGCCTATACAATAAACTAGCTCATAATCTGAATCACTCTTGCAAAATTTGGTGCCAAAGATATGTAGTATAAAATATACATGCAGTAGATTTAATCATTTCATGTAGTAATTAAGGAAAAATAACGTTATAATATTGTTTGATGAAGGATCTGTGAGGAGACACTATAGAGGAGTACGACAAAGGCCATGGGGGAAATGGGCAGCAGAAATACGCGATCCCAAGAAGGCAGCTCGAGTTTGGCTTGGTACCTTCGAGACAGCTGAGGATGCAGCCCTCGCATACGATGATGCTGCTCTTAAGTTCAAAGGCGCCAAAGCTAAGCTCAATTTCCCAGAACGCGTTCAAGGGAACGCCGAGTTGCGATATATAAGCAGTAGTACTGATGGATCAGGTGGTAGTTCGAGCAGTTTCCCAGCTGATCATCATCATCAGCAGCAAATTGATCATTCTTACGATCCCACAATGTCACGTAACACTTTTCCTGGTCTTCAACAATATGCACAATTACTCTCTAGCAGTGATGCAGAATTCCCTTACTTCAGTTCAGCTCTCTATAATCAAGGTCAAGGAGGAGGCTATTCCACCTCTCATATGCCGGAATATTCCTCCGTTAGTAGCAGCGCCAGCTTAGTGCCACAACAGCACCACCATCAGCAACAAGATTTTCAGAATTTTCCGTCCGAGTTTCAAGGGTTTTCTGGTTTGGATTTCACTTCAAATTATGGAAATGATTTTGACCCTACTAGCCGAAATCGTGAGTAATTAAAATGATGTATGCGTTTGAGTTAGTTTATATTTAATCAGGAATAATTCAGAATCCTTCTGCAAGTTTGCTCGAGATTAATATTTGAATATCAACTTTGAAGAAAGCGTTATTTAAGTTAATTTTGACTCAGAATTTTGCAAGTGATTGTAGTTAGAACAATATTGATACACGAGTGTCTTGTGAATTTACTGAATCGTATACAGTGAAAAATAAAACAAATTTCAACTCATATCAAGGATCTACTTTATGTTTAGAAAACAGTGATAAAAATTATACTTTTGTAAAATTCTACAAACTATTTTGCTTTTCTTGAACTCGTACAATCACGATCTGCAATTCAAATATGTTCAATTGTTCAACCTTCAATGGAAATCCACGTAGGGGAACAAGATAGATTGAACTAGAATTTTTTAATTTTTTTGTACTAGCAAGAATAATTATATCCCTACTGATTTTTTCAAACCCTAACAACCTATTGATATAAGTCCAAGTGGATTTGGCCGGTTTCTTAATTCGGATCAATATTTAATTAATCCAATTAATTAAATTTGATCCATGAAATAATTAATCCAATTAATTAATTCGGACCTATTAACAAGTAATCTAAATAATTAATTATCCAACAATTGTCAATTAATTAAATGATAAAATCATTTTTCTAGTTTTCCTTTTTTGTGTGTGACCCCATTGGGTTCCCATTTATGATGTCTAACGACGTAAACTATTATTTGAACTAATCAAAATCGAAAAATGTAAATACCCATTTTTAATTTATCACAAATTCACATTCGTCGTCCTAAATTGACATCTAGCAATGTATCAAGACAATACATATAACGAAAAATGTCACATGGTATGACGAAATCAAATTTGTTCATTTAATGTGAAATTATAATCATTTCGTCAATATAATCCAATTAATTATGAGATATGAGTATGTGTTAATATCAATTATCGATTGTATCTTTCATTCCATTATTAAGCCCTTGTTCGAGCCCTATTATTTTCATCAAAATACATTTTTCAACAGTGATTTCACTACATTTCAACTACACATTCTTCATTAAAATAATATTATACGCAAATCCGAAACTTTTCTTTATTCTTTAACCACACATTTTCATCAATACACTATTCAAAAATACATTTTTGGGTAAGAATGTGGATCAAACAAGGGCTAAGTCAATATAAGTCGAAATATCTTTTTCAACTTATGAGTACACCTTGACCACGAATTTCATTATCAACTTAACTGAATGAAATATATATCATAATCGCTTACTATTGAAGAGTGACGAATCTTTTATTGATTATTCCCAACCTTTATATGATTATTGACATACCTGAATAATGTCGTATTAGCGACTTTTAGTAGAACAACATCCAACATCACCAAAGTATGACTGTCTCATATAAAGCACTATGATGACCTCAAGTCGAATGAACAATTTCATTACTGAACATTAGAAATTAACCACCGACACTCAAATAGTTATCCATGTGGAATCTCCTCAGGGGGTCTCCAATGTTTTGTTCTATTACAAGACATTCACATGTTCTTTTAAGTATCATCACACTTTAGCTCGTGAAATAAGTTACTTATTTCAAAAGTAAGAAATGCCATGGTTGATTTAAGATTTACTCATAAATAATTTGTATCTTACAATTATAACTCTTTGTGATTACTGAGATTTGTATTTACGGACTCTATTGTTTAATTTAATTGAATATTAATTAAATAATAGATCTGTCTTATATATTAAAAGTGTTTATGTCCAAAATTGATTGGATTTAGGGCATAATACTTCCAGAGTGATCAGTAGTATTACATATCCCCCATTTGCTTCTCATTTTTGGAAGAATGAGAATGAAAAATATAACCGTTACGATTCCCAAACAAGATAAATTCAAATTTGGTGGCTTGATGTGATGAATAACGGTTATAATTTTCATTTTAATGATGACAGAATGGGAACCAAGTAGTATCATATTAAAGTTCATTTAATAGCAAGCATGCATGAAATAATAATAATAATAATAATAATAATAATAATAATAATAATAATAATAATAATAATATTTGGTAGTGGCAATATTCTCTTCGTGTTTATGAATGAATAAATAAAATTAGAACCTCAATTATTGTTAATTACTTGATTCAATTAGTTGATGTATAAGCAACTCAATTTTGAGAATAATCAAACAGGGAAACAAAATAATAATTGCATTGCCCTGCCAAGAGAGAAGAGCCCAAAAAAGAGAGAGAAGAAGTAAGCTTCTTTTCTTTCTTATTAAGTAGATTTTGGGGTTTTAAAGGGACCGACCACTTAACTCGTTTACTTTCGGCTGTCGGCATGGCATCTCGCCTTCAATTTTTGCGGCTATATTCTCAATTTTGATACCATAATATTTCACAAATTTTGTCCCTTTCTATGTTGTCTGTATGAAAGGAATATTGGTCATAATCACACTCACATCTCTAGATATTTTAAAATATATTTATATCCAGAACAACTTTATTCTAGCATGTTTGATTTAACTAAAAATCATATTTTTAGTAGATTTTAATAAAATTTGATAAAATATGTGGTTGAAAAGCTATTGATTTCATAAAATATATTGTTTATTTAAATTTTTTTTTAAAAAGGGGAGCCAAATAGGGAGATTGAATTGTCGTATGGATTTTAAGGCTCTATTTGAACCCCATTATTTGAGAGAATAAATTTTGTAATAGTACTTTTTTGAAGAATGTGTGGTTACAAAATTTGAGTTTACGTGCCAAATTACTTTATTGGGCAAATAAGTTGTAGAAATTGGGTTGCTGCCATTTGTGAAGCCCAAGTCAATATCCACGACCCATGACCCGGTTAAATGGCCCAATTGGTAGAATTATCTGGAAGCTCATTTGCTTAAAGGAAAACATGTTTTTTTGGTTGTGAAAAATGACTCTCACATGATCTCGACACTTGGCAATCGTTGGACCATTGGATCAAATGATTTGTTTCTTTCATATAAAAGAAACCAAGATGCTAGGGCTAGGGTTGGCTCTCATTTACGCAGCTTTCATTCTTTTGATTTAAAACTCTCTCTGTACTTTTGGCTCTCTCATCTTGAATCTTGTTGATTCTTTCTTGTTGGTTGAGAGTATGCGTGATGCTATGAACTCTTGTGTGAGTTCTTCGTGTTGTTGAGGGGATTTGTTGTCGTTGTGGCTGGAACTGTGTGTTCCGTTTGTGACTCAAAAACTGCTGTAATTTGGCCGGTGTTTGTTCTAGTGGATTCGAGCTTATTCCTTCGTGGATGCTCAACGGGGACTAGGCGATCTAATAAATCGCTGAACCTCGAGGCTTCGGCCAAAAAATCGCTCGTGTTCTCTTTACTGTTTTTCAGATCTACAAATCTTGATTTTTTAGTCTTGCGATTTTTGATGTTTTGAAACGGTCCTAGGGTTCCTACAGTGGTATCAGAGCTTAGAATATTTTTCTTTAGCTATTCTTCAGTTCCCGTTTAGTTTGAGGGTTTGAAATCACTTCACCGGCCGAAAGGAAAAACGGCAGATCCTTTTCAAGATCTGCCAACATTAAATTTTTTTTTATTTTTTTTATTCTTTCTCTTTTGGTTGAGTAATACTGAAATAATTTCTTTTGGGGCACTGCAAGTGTGGATGTCGCCTTTTTTTTGAGAAACTGGAGTGCTCTTGTTGGCTATTGGAGTTCCCTTATTTCGGTTGGTGTTGTCCTTAAAACTGGAAAGAAATTCCTTGACGCTGTAGGACTTGATTACCTGCAGTATTGGTGTTGAACTTCGTATACAATTGTATATTTGTAAATGTTGCAGTATAGTGATAACTTTTGGGTATATAGTAAGCAGTAACTAACCTGTTCTTGGTGAAATTACAGACTTTTCTTGTCTGTTTTGCGGTACCTGCAGTCTGCAGACATTGAATTTGTGATTAATCAGTTTTTTGTATTGTATTGTTGGTACACTTAGTTTTTGGAAGTATTATTTTGGTAATAAAATCATTTTTTTTCAAACTAGGGTTTCACAGAACCTCCTCTAACTCTACCTCTGTCTAGGGTTCCCTGAGAGAACCCTAGAAACTCTGGGGATTATGGCTTCGGTTCAAGAAACCTGTAATCTTCAAAACCTTTTTTTTAAATTCTCACTGTGTGTGGATAATAAAACCAATAATTATATTTCCATAGTTAAATTCTTGTACATTCTGTGTGAACTGTACTAATACTCAAATTGATCTTCTCAGGTGTTGAATTGCCTAAGAATAATGCTTCAAAGGTACATACATTGCATTTACAATTTTTGGTAACTTACTGTGTGTAAGTTTATGTAATTAAATTCATTGCATGCTTAGTGATCTGCATATTGAATGTGTCTTAATTTGGTTGTAATAATTATGTACACATCACACTAAAGCACAATCCATATATAATCTGAAATTGGAATAATAAGACAGTGTACTTTGTGACATACTGTTGACTGAATAATCATTGAGATATACTGTTTTATCATAACTTGTGAACAATTTCACACTCCTGCACAATATGAACTCTAAGGTAGATGTTCAAATGTGGGATGGCAAAGGATACTTTAGTCTCTGGCGTCAGAAAATTAAAGCACTATTATTACAGTTAAAATGTGCTAAGGCTACTGATGAATCTTGGCCAGAAATCTTATCTGAAGCTAGAAAAACTGAACAAGATGAATTAGCCTGGAGCACTTTGTTCCTGCACCTATCTGATACTGTGATTAAGAAAGTAGGAGAAACTAAAACTGCTGAAGAATTATGGACTGCCTTAGAAAAACACTACCTTACAAAGACTGTGCCAAATAAATGTCTTCTTTGGAGACAGTTTTTGAGTTTTAAGTTTGATCCTAATCTTGATAGGGAGATAATATGGATAGGTTTAATATGATCACACAAGACTTAGCAAATTGTGATGAGATAATTTCTGATAAACAGAAGGTAGTTGGCCTACTTAATGCTCTAGGAGATAAATATAAAGATATTAGAAATGCTCTAGAGTATGGTAGGAGTGATCTCACTGTTGAAATAACTCACAGTTCTCTTCTGAATAAGGAACTTGAATTAAAATCTGAACAC